GTGGTGTTGTGTTGGAGCTGGGTACATTTAGAGAGTAAAATGATTCTCTATTGATGTGAGGTCCCCCACCACACTCACCCCCATGTGTTGTTAGAATCAGAAGTGTCCCTTTTTGAGTTAGGAATTATCCCTAGCATGGGCATGCCTGTAATCCCAACATTTTGGGAGGCTGAGGAGGGGGGACTGCTTGAGGTCAAGAGTTTGAGAATAGCCTAGAAAATAGTGAGAGCTCATCTCTACAAAAAAAAGAAAATAATAATAAAAAAAATAAAATAAAATCAGCTGGGTGTTTGTAATCCCAGCTACTCGGGAGGCTGAGACAGGAGGATCACTTGAGCCTAGGAGTTTAAGACTGTATGAGCTATGACTGCACCACTGCACTCCAGCCTGGGTGGAGTGGGACAATGGCTCTAAAACAAATAAGCCAACCCTCCCAAACAAAAAAAGGATTGCTGCTAGAGCATTTGCCACCCCCCCCCCCGCCTTTAGGGGAGGGCTATGCCACAGGCTGGGTGGGTGCCTAGCACGCAAACTGACTCATGGGCTTCTTAGTTTTGTTTAGCGCATTAGTTCTACTTTGTATCAGTGACAAAAGCCTGTAAATGATACCTTCATTTTTATGTTTACCAAAAGAAGCATGGCTGTGTCAGGTTTGTGCTGTCATGACACAGCAGTAACAAGAATCAGAATCCAGGATAAAGCACACATAGGAGGCTGTGGGGAGTGAGTGGCAGGTGCTGTAATGTCCCCAGAGCATAGCCATGCTGGCTTCCCAAGATGCCACCAGCCTTGGTGAGAGCCAACCTCTGCTCTCACTCCACGGAGGAGGAAGCCTTGCCCATGCCCCGGAGACCCAGGGTCTCTGCAGATCCGCACCGGCATGAAAGTGAGCCCCTCTACCAGGCAGGAACACAAAGTGCCGATGTGACGTTGGAGGGCAGTTGCCACCACGCACCATCTATCAAACTGCTGCTTGGGAGCACCTGTGGGTCCAGGTGAGGCCCAGGATCACATCCTGGCCCCTGGGCAGGCCAACAGCTCCGCTGTGACCCAGTTCAGCCTGGTAGAGGGGCCTCACCAGTGGGCTGTGTTCCTGAAGCAGGTCAGCAGGCCACAGGCAGGCCCAGAGCTGGAGCCCACCTACTGCACCGGGGGGCCTGAGTGGACAGGCAGCATTAGGGATGCCACAGATCCATGACCTTGGCCTTGCTTGTCTTCCAGAAGCAAACCACCAAGAGAAATGGACCAGAGAGCTCGCTGCCTGGAGGGCTGTGGTTGGGGAGCATGGCCGGATGATGCAGAGCTGGAGGAAGGCATGGGTACGTGGCCCCAGCCAGGCCCCAGGGGGTTGGAGGTGGGCCTGGCACCTGCCACCTCTGGACACTCTTGCAGGGACCCTCCTGTCATGGGCTTCCATTGATTCCTCTCAGCTGAAGAGGAGTGCTACTTTGTGAAACTTGCATCCCTAGGGGACTCCTGAGTCTTGCAGCAAGGCTGGAGCGGATCAGGAATCACTGATAAGGAGAATGCAGTGGGGCAGTCAGGCAGGGTTTGCTGTCTGGTTAAGACAGGACCCCACAGCCACTCCACCCCAGGACAGAGCACTCAGTCACTGCTTTGACCAAAGTATAAGAACTCTGGGCAGTGGGGTTCCCTCCTGGGTGCCTCGGGGAGGCATGCTGGAGGAGCAGGCAGAGGTGGCTTCCTCAGCCATAACCTGGTGGGGCCAGGCCCCAGAGGTGGCAAGCAGAGAATCACTCCTAAGGCAGGGCTCCCAGATGAAGGTGGAGGTTGTCCTGCCAAGGTTCCCAAGTTGCTAATTGGCTTTCTTGGCTGCTACCAGAAGCAAAGTCAGAGACTGCACAGTGGATGTTCTGCCAAAGTATAGGGGCAAACCATGGGCCTCAGGGCACTCTGAGTTAGATGCTGCCAAAAGGTGGGGAATTTACAGTTGATCCTTCCATAGAGAGAGCAAGCTCCCTCTCCTGAAAACCACCTCCCTCTCAGGGACAACGGAGGTGGGCAGGCAGGGCGGCCAACCCAGGAGTTGGTGCGAATGGACTGCTGCTTCACCTTTATGTCCCAGGTGGGAAAACCATGCCTGGTGTGGATCATCAGTTCCTCATGGCAGGAGAGGCTCAGGACGCTACTGGTGTGCGTGGAATTGTCTAGCAGAAGAATCAGGGTGTTGAGTAAGAAAGGTCCATGTGTTCTGTCACGGATTCAACTGCTGTGTTGTTCTTTCAGGAAAGCTGTAGCAAGGATACCTTGTAGCCACCAGGATTCAGTTCTCAACCCAGATCCTGACCAGACCCTGCTGCACTGGCCATGGCCACCCCTGGAAAAAGACCAGGCATCTGCAGTAGCAAGGTGTCTTGCCCCAGCCTGCTCTACACGGCCATCAGGCCATCCTGACTGGTCCTCCCAGGGGCTGGGCAGTGGGAAAATACGGAACCTGAATGGGCCTGTGACAGGAACCAGGACTTTTTAAAAATCACATGCTTAAGTGTAACAGGAGGGTCTGTCTGGCAGAAGTGAGTAACCAGGATGGCTAATAGGCTACAGTAGCAGCTCTGATTGACACTAAAACAAGTGTTGGGTACAGGCTGCTCCTCCAAAAACACTCATCATGTCCTGAGGGCCACTTCTACAAGATCCCCATGACCTTACTTTGTCAGCCATCTTCCCTATTCCCCAGATGATAGGGTCAGCACAGGCAAGTGCTGCTTTTACTGGCAAATATCGAGCCATACCTGACACTTCTCCCACCCTCAGATTTAACCACAAATCTTTGAAGGTACATGCTGGGACAGAAGGCGAGACTTCACATGTGATGCTTTGCCTTAAACCCCGAGTGACTGTGAGCTGCACTCTGGGAGGGCATGTCTCTAGACCCTGTGTTCCTCGCTAAGCCCAGATACCAGCTCTCTGCTGTACTCCGGCGCTGTGGGTTACGTCTCTGATGTGTGCCCTGTCAGTGCTCAGCTTCAGCAATGGGACACCAAGCTTGTGTTGAGGTAGAAAAGCCAAACAGGTCAATTATGCAAATCTCCTGGGGCCATGTTCAATTTTCTCAACACTGGTATGAATCTGTAGAGGGTGTTTTGTTATACCTGTTCTTGAGTCTCTAATTATTAAAACTGTATCTCCAAAGACTCTGTCACTGTGTGTGAACTTGTCCTAAAGCTGCTCAGCCTTTAATCTTACAGACACGTCTCTTCTTGTCGATGGAATGACAGTTTTCACGTCTACCATGAAACCAAACGTTCTGTTAATAAAGCTGCACTCCTCTGTGATCCCAGCAAGTAACGGGCGTCGTCTCAGCTGTATGACCACAGCCCAGCCAGCTACTTGCCCACCTGGCCACATGACACTCATCTTGCTCATAGACAGACCATCACATATTCATAGTCTAAGTTTTTCTTTTTTTTTTTTTGAGACAGAGCCTCAAGCTGTCCCCCTGGGCAGAGTGCCGTGGCATTACAGCTCACAGCAACCTCTAACTCTGGGCTCAAGCGAGTCTCCTGCCTCCGCCTCCCAAGTAGCTGGGACCACAGGCGCCTGCCACAACGCCCGGCTATTTTTTGGTTGCAGCCGTCATTGTTGTTTTGGCGGGTCCGGGCTGGGGATTCGAACCCACCACCTTAGGTGTACGTGGCTGGCGCCTTAGCTGGTTGAGCTATAGGCGCTGAGCCAGTCTAAGTTTTTCTATAAAATATCCATCACCTTTCACTGTGGCACTTGCTTGGGAACAGCCTCAGCCACTACAGGCTGCCCAGTGAATGCCTCAAGCTCTGGGCATATATCACTGATGCCCTTTCTGTGTCTTCCTTGAAGTGTGGATCGAGAGCACGTTCATCTAGAGCACTTACACACTTGTAGTTTTTGTAATACAGTGTTCTGTTGGGAAATGTAATTATGAGAGTGAATTGAGTCCTTGCAATGTTGGAAAAAATGAAAGGAAAGTATGTTTGTTCAGATAAATAACTGTCCGTGGCACCTGGCCCCGGGGCTGTGCTTCCTGAAGCACCTGCTATGATGAGGGAGTGAATCAGCCCCCAGCAGTGGTCTCAGCTGAGCCATTCCTGCACAGGAAAGCAGTAGGATGGCATCACTAGGCAAGTGCAGGTGAGAAAGGGTAGGTGTGAGAAGGAAACCTCTCAGAAGCTGAATGAATGTTACCCCACCTACTGTGAAAGCTGCTTTTATTCCTAGATTAGTAAAACAAATATCACAGACCTAGAGACCTCTAAGAAAGGGCTTCTGATTTATCAAATTTTAAAATTATAGCTGCTTAGTGCAGCTGACAGGCTATTTGTTCCCCACAAATTTAATTTTGTTAATTTGTTTAATTTTTGTTAATTTGTTCCCCACAAAGTTAATTTTGGAACTTTTGTTGTCAAATAATCTCCCACTTTCAAACTTACTACAGTGGATCTGCTAGCTACTGATAGAGGGGTGGTGGTGTGGGAAACACCTCTCTGCTCTTGCTGACGTGGCAGAAGGATAGCATGTAGAGGGGACTCGGTGCTTGGAATGGCTTCTGACCTGGCTGACCACATTTAAATGGTTCAGAATGGGTAAAGACTGTCAGGGCTCACAGTGGTCATAGTGAGCACCACAGATGACAGGGGACGGTTGCAGCCCTGCTCACAGCATGCCATCTCTGAGTCATTACAATTTTACCTTGTGTCATAGGCCACTTATTTCTCAGTGGTACAATATCTGGCTGGCATGACTAAAGTCAATTAACTGTATTTTCAAAGCCAAACACCCTGCTTACTTGATGAACAGAAAGCAGTGAAAATCCTTTCCTGCCATAGGCTTTGGTGAAATGAATGGGCATGCAGGCCGGGGCTAAGCCAGGACATGTGTGGCAGGTCTGTGCAGGCCAGAGGCTGTGGCTGTCACTACCAGACCCTGCTCAGCCCCCTTCCTTCGAGGCCAGAGTGTCCAAGAGGAACAGTCAATTAAGACAGAGACCACCGATGAGCTTAAGGTCACCAGAGTCTGGAATAAAATTAAATAATTACTCTTTATTCAAAATAAATAAGTCCTCTTACTTACAAGGAAAATAGGAAAGTAAAATCTGTCCTCCTGTCCTCTGAGACAGAAACCACATTCAGAATATGCTCATTTAAAAAAGAAAGAAAAGATTTATAGATTATCAAAGTGAAATCTAAGAACTTCAATACATTGTTTCTCTGAAAAATAAAGACTGAAAGAAATAATTCATGTCAAAAGTCACAGGTTAGAAAACCAATTTTCCTTCTGAGGCTCATTTTAGCAAATCCTCCAAGTATCCCCAAATGAAAGCTGAAAAGCAACATCCCTGGGAGAGGGCCCTTCCCTACAGTCCTCCTGCTCTGATGCTAGTGTCCCTGCAGCCCTCTGTCAGGTGGCTCCCTGTAGGACTGTGCTCCTTCCCTGGGTGCCTCCGCACCAGCTTTCTGCAAACTCACTCACTTGGCTCAGCTATTCTGCAATGGAGAGGAAATTTCCTTAGCAGCCAAAGTACTCTAAGTACCATGTTTTCTAGTGTTTTCCAGATCCAGTGTGCTCAGAAAGCCAAAGCTGTATTACCAGGCTTTTAAGAGATTTCCACCAGAGTATATATGAACAACATTTGATGGGCTCCACAGTTTTAAAGGCCTGAGACACTGCTTCACACCCCCTTTCATGCAGGTTAATTTCCAGATTCAACAGTCATACAAAATACATTAGGTCAATGAAGAACTACAAAGAAAAGGCCCCAAAGTCTTTCAAACTTCTCTCTCCTTACCCAGAAAACACAGACACACAGGAAAGAACTCTCTTGCTATAAATTCAAGTTCATCATCTGAGAGGTAGAAGCTTCCAAGGATTCATCTAGCTCCAGGGCACATCGACTGTATACTTCCAGATGTTTTTTCCAGATTTCAACTAAAAGTAGAAAACAGATCAACAAGTTAGAAAATTCCTATCAGAAAATCAGTGGCATGACTGAGTGGACTTGTGGCCACTGCCCAGCAGATCACTGAGCTCAGGAGCCCAACCGGGGCTACTCACTGCTCCCAGACTGCTGGGCCAGTTGAGCTGCATTGCGCCTCCCACCATCCCCCAAGAGAGCTCACAACATTAGGAAACCCCGCCTGGCTTTCCAACCCTGTCTTACAGCTACCCTTAACTCTCTGTTAAGTGACATCTGACTTGAATTCTAAGATAACCACTGACAAGCCCTGACAACGTCCAAAGTCTGAAAACACCTCTTAGGCAATGGCTTAGGCTTACCAGGACTGATCATAGCCAGTCTTGGCCTTGACTTACCAGGCCTGACTAGAGTCGGTCCTGGCTAGACTTCACCTTAGTTGGACTTACTAGGCACTGTTACAGCTTGTCTTGCAGCATCAAGGGCCAAACTGCTCTCCTGGATGCTAATTAAAGCTGCTAAAGAACTTAGAGGACACTCAACCCGACACCAAATCCTCCATGGAGCACTCACTGTAGTGTGGCTCTTCTTTTTCAGTGGGGGCTGGGGGGCTGTCTTCTACAGAGCAGCTGGGGCCCTCCATAGGTAGGCTGGAAGGGACCTGAGGCCCAGGCTCTCCAGCCAGTTCCCGCTGCACATTCTCCAGCATGGTCTTGTACGCCTGCCGGGCTGCCATTGTCAGCTCAACCATCTTGTGGAACTGGTCCTTAGGCACAAGCAAGAGCACACAGATGAACTCTGACTACTGAGAAGATGGGGGTCCCCTGCAAAGTTGACAACAGTGCCCTCTGCAGGGAAGCAGGGGCAACTGGGCCCTGTAACCCTCCCACCCCTTTGTCTGGGGGGAGCCAGGATGCTGCCCCGGAGGAAGTGTGCTGACCTCTCCGGCACCTGCCTGAGATGCCTCTATGTCAGCACAAGCCAAGAGCCAAATTCAAAACCAGACACTCTGTGCTGTCAAGGAGACAAAGGCCACCGTTTTATGAAATGGTTTTGCCTCAATGTTCTCAATGCCAGCCTACTAGTGGGGACTGCTGGGACCCACTTTCCCCAACAGCCAGGGACTGAAGAGGCCCGTGCCTTTGTCTCACCTGGGCCCCATCGTAGCTGAAGATCCCCACCACACTGACAGGAACGGCTTTGTTCAAACTGCGCCCCAGAGCTTTGCGGTTGAGAGCAAACACAAAGGGAATGTTCTGCTCACAGGCATAATCAATAATGGTGTGCAAAGTGTCATCCAGCCCACCTGGTCAGAAGACAATGAAAAACGACAGGGAGACACATCACATGCAGCACAGCGTTGATACTGGTTGCAAAGGACTTTTTCTACAGATGGCAACATGCCTGCTGATGATTTTATACTCAAGTCAGCACCACTGCCAAATCTCACCAAGAGAGCAAGTCACAGCAACAGGGAAGAATTAGCTCTCCAAAAGAGATACCTCTGTGATGTGATAAACACACAGCTTGCTTTATGCCAGGGTTCTCAACCTTCCTAATGCCGCAGCCTAGGTTGAGAACCGCTGCTTTATGCTAATGAGAAAAATTAAGTATTAGCTAAAATTACCAAACACTTACCACGTGCCAGGCCACTGATCAACTGCTTCACACATATTATTAGCTCCTGTATCTCCTAACCAAATCAAAAAAGCAGGCAGATGCTTGTGGTCCCACTTGGAGATGGAAAACCCGAGGCACAGACAGGTTCCTTACCCCACTTGGTACCTCTGGTTGGGGCACAGGGTCTGGCTCCCGAGAGCTCACCATGCTCTACTCTTGACCCTGCTTCCGAGTGAGGCACAGTGAAGGGAAGATGGAAGGGGCACCACATGCAGGCCTCTCCCGGCCACCTAGAGACCAACGTGCCTGAGAAGTAACCCCACCTGCATGAGAAGTGAGGCAGGGGCCTAGCGTGAGGCTTCAGGGGGCCCAGCACAAGTCTTTGTACCTTCCTGCGGTGGCCAGTTAGCATGCACTCAGAGGAATGACTCCATGGACAATGGCAACACAATATCACAGGAGGCAGGAATGAGTATGGCACGGAAAACCAAAGATTTATAGAACTTCTCCGTGCTGTTAACTTAAGAGAAAATTGGAACAGATGGAAAGGTATCTAAGCTGTCGCACAGAATGATCCATGTCAACTTTACATTAACCTAAAATTTTCAACATATTGTAATTTACTATAGATAAGATTTCTCTGAGATGAAAACTTAAGGAAAAAATGTCACTCTAGTGGAGGAGTTGAAACACATTCTTAGTAAAGTAAGGATTAGGAATATGAAACCAATAGAAAAACAATTAAATTCAAGTTGTGGGGGGAGGAAAGGGAAGGATGGAGGAAGGATGGTAGGCTCTCAGCTAATAGGCACAATGTAAGGATATACAGCACACACACTCTCCAGGAGTCCAAGAGTATGAGGTTGCTGTGAGCTGTGATGCCATAGCACTCTACCAAGGGCAACACAGTGAGACTCTGTCTCAAAAAAAAGTTCAGAGGCTCGGCGCCTGTGGTTCAAGTGGCTAAGGTGCCAGTCACATACACCTGAGCTGGTGGGTTCAAATCCAGCCTGGGCCCGCCAAATAACAATGACGATTGCAACCAAAAAATAGCCAGGTATTGCGGCAGGTGCCTGTAATCCCAGATACTTGGGAGGCAGAGGGATGAGACTTGCTTGAGCCTAGGAGTTGGAGGTTGCTGTGAACTGTGATGCCACAGCACTCTACCCAGGATGACAGCTTGAAGCTCTGTCTCAAAAAAAAAAAAAATTCAGAATTATGAGGTAAAATGCCACTCTGAACAAGTATATTACTTTAACATAATTCAAGGCTGTAGTAATACTAATTTTCACTTTTAAAATGATCACAAGCCATTGGCTATCTTATCCAACTAACAAATATTTATAAGATATACAACAAGTATGTTATGCTTCAAAGCAAAAAATATATAGGAACCAATGATAAAACAAATGCATTTTAAGTGCATCACAAATCCCCACCATGCCTAATCAAGTAAAAACCTAGTCTCTGGGCAGCGCCTATGGCTCAGTGAGTAGGGCGCTGGCCCCATATACTGAGGGTGGTGGGTTCAAACCCAGCCCCGGCCAAACTGCAACAAAAAAATAGCTGGGCGTTGTGGTGGACGCCTATAGTGCCAGCTACTCGGGAGGCTGAGGAAAGAGAATCACCTAAGCCCAAGAGCTGGAGGTAGCTGTGAGCTGTGATGCCATAGCATTCTACCAAGGGCAACAAAGTAAGACTATGTCTCAAAAGAACCCCAAAGGAACAAAAAAACCTAGCCTCATGTTCTGCCATGACAGAGAAGCAGAATGGTAGCTTCTAAGGAAGGGGGGGATGACCGCAGACCGAATATATAAATACATCTGCCTTTCTTTTTCTTTTTTTTTTGAGATGGAGACTCACTATGTTGCCCTTGGTAGAGTGCCAGGGGTCATAACTCACAGCAACCTCAAACTCCTGGGCTCAAGTGATTCTCTTGTCTCAGCCGCCCAAGTAGCCGGGACTACAGGCACCTGCCACAATGCCTGGCTATTTTTAGAGATGGGGCCTTGCTCTTGCTCAGGCTAGTCTCAAACTCCTGAGCTCAGGCAATCTGCCTGCCTCAGTCTCCCAAAGAGCTAGGATTATAGGCCTGAGCCACCTCGCCTTTTTGTTTTCTTAAAGATATGAATCCACAGGAGAATGTGAGTGAGAAGAAAGTTTTAGAAGCAGAAATGCAAATGGACAACTAAGCTAGCAGACTATGCCAATAGTGGGGAGAGTCCAGAACAGCCAGACCTGGACCCAGAATCCCACAAAGCTCAGGAACAGGAAACATGGGGGTGAAGTCAGGTCAGGAGAGCTAGCAGGACACTGGTAAAGAGGCAAGTCAGTGTCCAGTCCATTGGCCCCAGCCCTCTGGTGAGGCAGGGCCCTAGTGTGCAGGATGTGACGCACCACCTGTAACAGTGGAAAGAGGATAAGCTTGAAGGATGAAGGCCGAGACCCAAGCCTGTCTCTCCAAAAAGGAGGTGCTGAATCTTCCCTGGGGATGTAACCATCCCAAGGGGACACAGAGACACCCCTAGGGTGCTTCTGATGTGGCAGAATCCTATAGCAGAACTTCTCAGAGTGCACTACGGAGCAGGAGCATCCAGAACTCACTGGAAGTGCAAACCCTTAGGCCCGATGGACCTACTGGAGCAGAAACTCTGGCATCTGTTTTCACCAGCCCTCTGGGTGATTCTGATGCGGGCTGCAATCTGAGAACCACCACCCTAAGATGCTGCTCACAGCCTGGAATGCCAGCCATGCTGTGTGTTAGCTTTTAAATAGGTGCAGACCACTAAGGGCCAAGACGTGTGGAAAGCCTCCACCATGAGACACCAAAGCAAATAAAGAATACAACTTGGAGGACATGGAGGCAATGCAGGGAGGAGAACCTGGCATCACTGAAATTCTCAGAGAGGTTAATACATCCATGAGTCAGCAGCCATGTCAGGAAAAAAGAATCTTCGGCAAACAAAAATAGGTTTCAGAAATTAATAATAGCAGAAGTGAAAAACTCAACAGAAAGTTTAGAAGATACAGCTGAGATATCCTAACAGAAAAGGGAATCGAAAGAAAGAGATGAAAAGCAGAGAACAAGGAACAAGTGGTACCTGTCGAGAAGGGCCGGACACAGATGTGGTTGCAGGAAGAGCTGGCAGGGACTGGAGGAGAAAAATCAAAGCAAAAACTTAATAGCACAATCCAGAGCCAAGGACACTGGATGCAAACTGCCTCAAATCCTGGATTCTGGGAACAAAGAAGTTCCAACAAGTCCCCCAGAGAGGAGGGGGAAAAAATCACAAAGGACCAAGAATCAGAGACCTCCACATGTGCCCCCCATACACCTTTTTATCATAAACCACTAGAAGATGTGCTCTAGCAAAACAAGAGAGCACTCCAAGAAGATGTACCTGAAAAATACACCTCAACAGCGCCAGGTGGGAGCCAAGGGCATCCCCAGGGTGGCAGCTGCACCAGTGGTTCAGAACCAGCAATGAGGGCTTCTTCAGCAGATGAAATTGCAGAACGCCTGGTGGATCCAATTGTCTTAGGGGAGACTAAGGCAGTTGGCTGAGAGCATGGGGTTTTATCAATGTTAAGATTATAGAAAATTAAGCAACTACCACACAACAAGAACAGTAAGCCAACTATACATTAAAGATAAATGAAAACAAAGCTTGTTTTCTTTCTTCTTCTTTTTTTTTTTTTTTTGCAGTTTTTGGGGCTGGGTTTGAACCCACCACCTCCAGTATATGGGGCCGGTGCCTTACTCCTTGAGCCACAGGCATTGCCCAAGCCTGTTTTCTTTATTGGGAAGTTGCCAAATAATACTTAAAATTGAAAAAAAGAAAACAAAAATGTTGAACAGTAACCCACAAGCCTCTTACTTGGAGATGTGGAGAAAAATACCCCCGTTTAGCTAAGAGCTGACAGGTAGAATCTCTAAAGAACACAGGGAACTGAAGCCTGATTTTCCCCTTAAAGCCTGTGCCCTACTTGACCCCATTAGCTGTATGGATATACAACAAGTAAAGAAACCACCAGGGAAGCATGTGGTCTGCTCTTTCCAGTGACCCAGAAAGGCCTCTGGAGACTGCCAGACATACCACTAAATCACTGAGATCTCCTCTGCCATATCCTGGTCAGCACTGCCCCTGGACGTATAGAGCTAGGACAGGGACAAGCTGCTGTGCTGGGAATGAGGAGGTCTAGCTGCTGCCCCTGGGGCTGCTGGGGGCTTTAGACATGTCAGGAAACCTCCAGGCTTCCGATATGAAATGGTAGCTGCACAGATCATCTCTAAGGGTTCAGCCTCAGGATCTAGACTCATCAACTTTACTGTGACCTTGGCCAAGCTGAATTTTACAACGTAGGAGAGAGGAATGGAGTCAAGGAAGGGCTTGTGAGTGATCCCAGCCTAGATAGAGATGCAGGGTGCCCTAAGCGACGGTGTTCTGCTCCTTTCAGTTCTTCTGTTACTCAATTTAGGAAGGATATAACACGGACAAGCAGGTTCTCAGGGAGCCAAGATGGTACAAGCATGGGGTAAATGAGATGTCACAGAACAGAGTTCACTGTCACCTTACCCAGCACATCAAAGTCTAAACAAAATATACCTTCCAGCTGAAGTAAAATAGCAAGTATTTAGACAAACCCACCTCTGTAATGAGTGAACAGATGAGGCTAACCACAGACAGAACAACTAAATGTAAAGTAGACAAATGCCCAGGCACAGCATTTTGTGGTGTGTGACCAGTGACCATCCTCAGTTCCAGAGTACCCTGCGTGATGGAAACCCATCATCTCTTGCTGTCAGAGGCCTGTGTGGACTGGCTGGAAACCCACTGTGCAGGACTATGTGACCCTCCTGCTTTACAGAAAGTTAGGCACTCAGTAGTCCAGCAGTTCTCAACTTGTCTGTCGGTCACGATCCCTTTGGGGGTCAGACAACCCTTTCACAGGGGTTGCCTAAGACCATCCTATATATCAGATATTTACATTATGATTCATAACAGTAGCAAAATTATAGTTATGAAAATAATTTTATGGTTGGGGGTCACCACACCATGAGGAACTGTATTAAAGGGTCATGGCCTTAGGAAGGTTGAGAACCACTCCAGTAGTCAATACACTTGAGAAATAATTACTCAATTTAAAACAGAAACAAAAAAGAAAATGAGGTGCCAAGGCTTTAGCACAGTCTGCCCAGGTGTGCGGCTAGCCACGAGGGCACTATACCAGCGTGCAGGGCCCACACATCACAGGGCCATTACCTTTCGACTGGATCTTTTCACAGTTGGGAGAAATGATGACGCATTTCAACTTTTTGAGTTTCAGGTGTTTGAGAACTTCCCTCAGCCCCAACACAAGTCGGCGCTTGGTCTTGGCCTTGACTGGATCTTTCTGGTACATACGGTCTTGAAAACGGACAAGTTCTTTGAGGAGGTCCGTAACACAAGCATCCACTTCCTTACTAAGCATCTGGCTGCAGTAACTGAAAGAAATATCAAATATCAGGAAACTGCTACTGGCTGTGACCCTATGTACTGCTTCCATCCAACCTCAGGGAGAAGAGATGTAGACAGTGTCAGACAAGAAGCCACAGTGTGACAAGTAATATTAATCAAAACTGAATTCCTGACTGATTCGATTTTATGAAAGGTAAATAAATACTGGGGCTTCTTCCCCCCACTTCCTGCCCTCTGCCATGGTTTGCCATAAGACCCTATCTCAGCCACTCGGTGTATGTCCCCATTGTGAAAACTAATACCTACAGAGACCATCCTGGAAGAAAAGTGGGAAGAAAAGAAGGCAGAGTGAACAAGGTTAAAAGAATCCTGCCCCTAAGAAATGGTATAAAAATTAAACCACCAAGGGAGACCCAAATGTCATGTTCCATCACCTTCCTACCAATTTCTCCATCTCAAACCTGGACTAAAGGTACTTCTTTCATCATTATCAAAAGGACAGAAACCTCAGTAGAATCAGATACAGACACCATGATTAGGCTTTCCAAACTTATGTATAACTAGATGTGCCTGGCTACTTCCAACCATGAGGGTCATAGTGCAGTGTGGCCCAACTATGTGGGTTTATGGTGCCCAGCACTGTTAGGGTGAATCAATCAATGCCAGATCGAAACTTAAGTCAGGGGCTCACTCACTCCCTGAATCTGCGGCTGTGGATCTTGGGGAAGGCGGCGTGGTCAGGAGCAAGGTGGCTGGCCTCTATGTCCCCCTGGAGCTCCATGCCCGGTGGCTCTTCTGACTTGCCCTCAGCCTCAGGAGTGGAGGAGACCGATTCATCTGTCCCCCCTGGACCTTCGCGGAGGAAAAAGCCGTCCTATGACATCTGAAGGGCCCCATACACACACTGACAGGCTGGCCCAGGGAATCTCACTGACGGGACCAGGCGCTACACAGATAACACTGTGGAGAAATTTACAAAGGGCAAGAAAACAGACTGGATGCCCAGGGAGAAGGGTGGAGACAGTCACACCAACATTCTGACTAGCCTGGATGTGTACCTCCTCCCAGTTTAAAAATTTATTTTTATTGTTGTAAAATATACATAAAATTTACTGTCTTAGCCTTTTTTAAATGTGTAGTTCAGTGGCCAAATTTAGTTTCCCCACTTGATTACCTCTACAGACCACCAAAATGCAAACCAAGTATCAGATCACCAAAGGAAGGAATTTAAAAATGTACAAAATACCACAGCCCCCCCAGATGGCAAGAACAAGACAATGCCTCGTGGGCTGGTAAGGATGGGGAACACTGGGCAACCCGATGGACAGAAGCTACCAAAGCAACTTCCCGCTGCCCCTGGCAATGCCCAACAGTAGCAAGTGCCTATGCCTTCTGAGACACACACACGACACTATCCATGGCAACCTGGTTTCTAACAGCTTACCCCCTTCCACCACAAAGGCAGAAGGACTGTCTGGGACAGTTTGCTAAGCACAGCTCATTCTTTTCAGGGCTATCTTATTTGGAAGTAAGACGCAAACAGGAGTCAGTACCTAAGGGGTCCATCTGCTCAAGTGCCAGGTCATCACCACCGCTTTCTCCATCTTGTCCACCATCACTGGCAATAGCTGGGCTCATGGCATTTTCCTGGAGACGCTGCTGCTTTCTCTCTTGCCGTTCTTTCAAAATAATCTTAAAAATTAAACCAATGATTAAAACATCTAAATGCTTATACTTAGGAGATAATAAGCTTTTCTGTAAAATAAAGTACCCAAGTTCAACTTGTTGCCAATTTGCCTGTGCGGCTTGAAAGTGGCCATGTGCTACCTAGTTACCAGAGGCTGGACCACCCCTCACCCCACCCTAGAGCAGCACCTTCCTCGTCAGGTGCACAGAGCAGACACATGACAGGAACCTGGGCCATGAAGCCAGTCCTGCCGCCGAATGGTCACCTTAGCACATACACCACAGGACTGCTGGGAGAATTAACCAGAGGAATGCATGCAACTGTCCACTGGAAGGGTGCATGGCATGTGCCCTGTGCACTAATTAGCTAGGGTGAGATAGGGGTAGAACGTGTGAGAAGGAAAATACAATTCCCTCCATTTCTCATTTTTCTGTCTATGTCATTGCAAAGGTTTAAAAAAAAAAAAGAAAGAAAAGATCCTCCTTCCTTCTCTGCTTCATCACATCAGTCTGGAAGGTTGAGGGATTGATGGTTTGAGAGTCATGAACGTATCTTGATACAAAATGTCTGCGTAAGGCTGGGCACAGTGGTTTGCTCCTCACTCTGAGAGGCTGAGATGGGGGGTTTGCCTGAGCTCAAGAGTTGAGACCAGCCTGAGCAACAGTAAGATCTCATCTCTAAAAACCGCCAGGCACTGTGGCAGGGGCCTGTAGTCCCACCTACTTGGAAGGCTGAGGCAAGAGGATCACTTTGAGCCCAACAGTTTGAGGTTGCTGTGAACTATGATACCATGGCACTCTACCAAGGGCAACAAAGTGAGACTCTGTCTCAAAAAAAACAAAAAAAAGTTTGAGTAATACACACTATATGTCTTAAACATCCTAAGAGCCGGAAATATGAAATTGTGTGCACACCTTCTTCAGTGAAGTTGGCTTTTTGGCCTTGGGCACCTCCCTCTGCTTCCCCTTCTTCATCAGGGGGGCACTGGAGTCCAAGGGGTTGTGCGGCGTCTTCATCTGACTGAGGCGCCGGCCCCTGTCCCCTGATGAGACTTCTTTGGAAAGGACTGGCACTGCTCCAACTGAAACACAGAAGGACAAATCCCTCAAGGTCACCTTCTAGTGGCCCTACCCAGCTCCTGGACCATGGTTTGCCTTGGGGTTAGCTCAGGGTATCTTTAGGAACTCTCCATGACCCCTGGCACATCCCTGCAACCCTTCTCATCTTTGTCAAATAATCTCTTCCACATTTTTATTGGGAGTGATTCTAAAGACCTTTAGTATCTTTTGAATGAGATGCCGCCAAAGCATCAAAAATTTAGGACAACCCACTCTCCTATCCATGTAATCAAATCACCTACATTTCTCAGCAATGTCTAATAACTTTGTGGAATTCATTTTTTGACTCAGGATGGTTCTAGGTGGTGCTCGTTATTGCTCTGTTGAGTAAGTCCCTCTCCACCACTGTTTTCAGTCGGCACTGCTGTTGCAGAACTTGGCTATTGGTTTCTACATTTGTATCTTCTCCAGGTATCTAGCTATCTTCTAAGGCTCTCATTAAGATTCTCAAGATATTTCCAATTCAGTTTCTAGATGTAACAGGTTTTATCAAATCCCATTATATGCAGCTGGGGGCAATCCCTCTACATAATCAGTGAATTACTATGATTACTACTGAATATTTCAATTTAATTCTCTTGCTCTCAATTCCACACCTTAATCACTAAAGGAAATTGTTAAATTCCTCTATACTTTCCCCTTGCTTGTTAATTAGGAAAAATTCCAAACATACACCAAAGAGAGAAGAATGGTAAACAACAAACCCCATGAGCCGAATGTCTAGCTTCAACAACCATCAATATTTTTCCAAATGTATTTTACTCAACTTCCTTTAAATTTGGAATATGTTTTTAAATAATTGGTATTTTATCAATCATTTAAAGCTATTAACTCTCACCTGTCCAATTCCCTGCTTCCAAGCAAAGTGTTTAACATACTCAAGTCACCAAGACAACACTATCTGCCTCCCAGGCAACTTCTTGCCCTACCTACCTCTGCCAGAAAGGGCTTGCTAGATTGAGCATGGTCATTTAAAGTGGCGACCTTTAAACATGGAAGGCGAGGGAGTGAGGCCAGCCCAGGTTGCCATTTTATGTGGACAAGTAAGAGATGGGCAGGGATTTACAGGGAGGACTCCAGGGAAGACCTGTCATAGGGATCAGCCTTCCATATACCTTGGCTGACCACAGGATGCATGGCATGGTGCCCAGCAAAAGCAATTCCCAGCCACCCATGCACCCCAGTCAACAATGGAGTCCACAAGCAGGCCCAAGGGACACTAAGCACCAGGCAAACTTGACCTTGGCCTGAGGGTTGAATTCACCCTCAGTTCACAAATAGCCATCAACAAAAAGTGGAGGCTTGAGCATGGCCTCTGACCCATCACTGCTATGTAAACACAGGGGTAACCCTGGAAAAGCAAGCAAAAGATAAAAACTATTAAAAAATAAATAAACAGAGACATCAACAGCTTCACATCGTAAGGCACATTTCCTTTTTCACTACCAAGAACACAAAAGTCAAAAGCCAAATATAAGTAAAAGTCTCATCAATTTCCTTGGATAGCTATTTTCTTTTAATGTGGTGTTCTGAAAAAACTGCTTCAAAAGCAAGAAACATACTTAAAAGACTACAATAGCAAATCTGTATGTTACTTTTTGCAACATATTGTAAGTTTTAATGCCTTAGGCTCTGAAATGTGTCAGAGGAAGCAGACAGCCACACCAATGCTGGCCTAACACTGCTCTCTGGCAGGAATCTATTTCTACAGAACGCAGTTGTCTAACCTGCACAAAAGATCATGGGGAACATAGGGCCCTCAAACAGACAAGATTTTCAGCGACATAAAGTCATTTTATCAAGTAGAAACTCTTCATCTTTTATTAAATCTATTTCTTAAAATCCTACTTAAATAATTTAAATTGCGATAAAATTTATCATTTGAACTATTTCTAAGTGCAGAATTCAGTGGCATAAATTACATTTACATAAATTATACTGTACACTCATTACCACTACTTCCCAGACTTTTTATACCCCAAATTGATACTGTGGTCTTCCCATTCCTTTTCCCCTTAGCACTTGGTAGCCTCAAATCTGCTTACTGTGATTTTGCCTATTGGAGATACTTCACGTATGTGGAATCATATGGTATTTGTGTGTCTCACCTGATTCATGTAGCATTAATGTTTTAAAGTTTCAAGCCCCTGTCCTTACCCCCACCCTGTGGCCTCAGTCCTGGGCTATGGATATGGCCAGAAGGGACCAGGCATGTCAAGACACTCCAGGCATCCTCCCCTGCCAGCCAGCTTGAGAGCTGGCACTCTGTCCACACTCCACATTGCTGCAGGTCCTCCTCATCTCCTGGGCTTCAGATACAACCTTGTCCCTGAAACACGACTCAAGATTTCAAATCTACAGACCTCATCTTTGTCATGACTCAAGATTTCAAATCTAAAGACCTCATCTTTATCCTCACTGGCCCACTAAACTACATGAAATTCCTGACGGAGCTATAAAGGCCTCCCATGAACAAACTACCCACTTTTTCTTTTGGTACTCATGAGACTGCTCTTTTAGGACCAAAGTATATATTTCCTTACTCAGAAAATAAGGAAAAATATGGCAAACCAAATAAGCGAAAAGGTTTTAATGAAGGTTTACAGAAAATAGATAACAATCTGAAAGTGAAATTTTCAAGTCAACAGGAATCAAGTGAACTTAATTAAACACATCATCTGACATTGAAGAAAAAGAAACTGGTATTTCAAAGGAAGATACTGACCATGAAGAAAAAGCCAGCAACGAGGATATAAGTAAAGCAGTTGACATAATCACCCCTAAAGCTAAGAGAAGAGAAAGAGGAAAGCAGAAAAACAAGTAGAGACAGAGGCAGGAGCAGTGACAATAGCAATAACATCTGTTAGTCTACAAGTGAGCTGATTCTAAAACCAAGAGGCAGACCCCAAATGGTAAGACAGCCCTGTCTTTCAGAGAGTGACATGGTTACTGAAGAAGACAAAAATGGGGGGAGGGGGCAAGAGGAAAAACCACCCAAAAAGCAGCTTAAAAAGGATGAAATGAGCCAAAAGGAAAAAGATAAACCAAAAGAGCCAGACAAAAAAGAGGGGAAGAAAGAAGCTGAATCAATGGGAAAAATTTAGTTAAAAAAGGGTTACATCAACCTCTTATTGTGAAGGAGATGATCAAGAAGGTGAAGAGAAGAAAAAAGGTTGGGAGAAACTTCTAGAATGCTCACAGAAGGCACATGCTGAAAGGCCAATGTGAGAAAGCAGCAGGCTGGAAACACAAGCCGGAGGAACAATGGAAGCTGAGCAGCAAACAGCATGCAGCTACAGTAGTAAAAGCTGCAGCTTGTTTGGGCCGTTAATCCAGTTATGGAAAAGTGGAACAAACAAGAGATGAAGATCTTGAGATAGACTGACTGGACTGAATTACCCCTTCCCTATCCTTGATGGAAGAAGGTTCCAGATTCTAAACTGAGGACTTCATTATTAATGGCATTATTACTGTGCTATTATTGTTAACAAAGTTTCCAGTAAGGTACACATTTCATATTAAGGTTGGCCATCATTTTTGTATTTTTTAACCAAACTTAAAATGAAGGTTAGTGTCTAAAATTATAAAAAGTTGGGAAAGCTGTGGTGATTGTAACATTATTTCACTTAGAAAATATACATTTTGTTTTCAATGTATTTTAAATCCATTTAAATTGGAAGAGCGACTACACCCACAGAAATGGGGCAGTTGTACCATTCCCTTGACATTCCTTTGTTATTGTTTTAGAATCTTAATTGTTTTTTTATCCTGAGAGATTAAACAGTAGAAATGTTAAGAACAAAGTGAAACAGTAATTAAAATTTTAAAATAAAGTTTATTATTTATTTACTTTTTTGGCCAGGGTCAGGTTTGAATCTGCCATCTCTGGTATATGGGGCCGGCGCCCTATTCCTTTGAGACACAGGCGCCACCAATAAAGTTATTTGTTTTTTATTTTTTTGCAGTTTTTGGCCCGGGCTGGGTTTGAACCCGCCACCTCCAGCATATGGGGCTGGTGCCTTATTCCTTTGAGCCACAGGCATTGCCCAATAAAGTTTATTTTTTAAATAAAGTTTCATTCATGTTATACAATGTATCAGAATTCATTACTTATTTAAAACTGTACAGTAGAGGATGCCAAGAGTCAGAGGACCTCTGAACAAGATGATTTACAGCTGAGGGGTGGACTCTCGGGCGACTTGTCCACAGGAGCTCCTTATGGAGAAAGAGCCCAGGCCCTTGGCATGTAGTCACTGTTAATTACTCCCCTCACCTGTACTATTCCGTCTCAATAAAAGGCTGGTGCAGAGGTTGCTTGGGCTACCTGAAAAGTAAGGGCTAGCCCGTCTCCCACAAGCTTGTACTTCTAATCCGTGTCATGCCTGGTTCCTTCTTGCGGGGATCAAGACCAGGGCCTTAGGAGCCCGACAGGTCACAACACTGTACAGTATTTCACTAATGTTTACCCATTTATGTGTTGATGATTAACATTTGGGTTGTTTTCATCTTTTAGTTATTGTGAATAATGCAATAAGCCCTGGCATACAAGTATGAGTGTTTTTAATTTTGAAGGGTAAGTATTGAGGAGTGGAATTGCTGGGCCATATGATTAACTGTTATTTATTACTTTGAGGAACCAGCAAATTGTCTTCCACCTGGGCTGACAAATTACATTCCCACTGGCAGTGTATAAGGGTTGCAATATCTCCACATTCTCATCAACATTTGTTACTTTATGTGTTTTTAATTATAGTCACCCTCTTAGGTAGTAAGTGGTATTTCACCATAGTTTGATTAGCATTTCCCTACCGACTAATGATGTTGAATATCATTTTAATGTGAAGATTGGATGTTTGCACGTCTTTTTTGGAAAATGTCTTTTCAAGTCTTTTGCACACTTTTTAAATTGGACTGTTTTATTGTTGAGTTGTAGGAGTTCTTATATATTTGATATTGGATATTAATCCATGACCAGACATATATATGATTTGCCTATTCCATAAGTTGTTTTATCATTTTCTTGACAATGTCTCTCCTACCTAAAAGTTTTTAAATTTTTATGAGGTCCAAAATTTCGTTTGTTGCCTATGCTTCTGGTGCCGCATCTAAAAATCCACTGTCCAATCCAAGGTCATGAAGATTTATTCATTTTTTCCTAAGAATTTTAGTTTCAGCTCCTGTATTTAGAGCTGAAACCACTGACCCATTTTTATTTTATTTATTTATTTATTTTGTGAGACAGAGTCTCACTTTGAGCCCCAGAGTGAAATGGTGTCATAGCTCACAGCAACCTCAAACTCTTAGGCTTAAGTGATTTCTTTGCTTCAGCCTTCCAAGGAGGTGGGACTACAGGCACCTGCCACAACACCTGGCTATTTTTAGAGATAGGGCATTGCTCTTGGTTAGCCTGGTCTGGAACCTGTGAGGTCAGGCAATCCACCTGCCTCAGCCTCCCAAGTGCTGGGATTAATGCGCTTGGCCCTCAACTGACCCATTTTTAGTTCATTATTTTTTTTCTAGGCCTGGGAATGGTAAGGAGAGCTCTGTGGCCTGGGCTAGAGTACAGTGGCACAGTCATAGCTCACTGCAACCTACACCTCCTAAGCTCAAGCAATCCTTCTGGCCTGGCCTCCCAAATAGCTAGAACTAGTGGTACATACCACCATGCCAGTCTAATTTTTCTTTTTCTTCATTTTTTGTAGAGATGAGGCCTTAATGTGTTACCCAGGCTGGTCTCAAATTTCTAGTCTCAAGCAATCCTCCCACCTCAGCCTCTCAAAGTGCTAGGATTACAGGCCTGAGTCACCACACCTGGCCTTGAGTCCATTTTTATCTATGATATGAGGTAGGGGGTATGACTTTACTTTTTTGCATATGGAAATCCAGATGTCATGGCATCACTTTTAAACAGACTGTTCTTTGTCAAAAATCAGTTGATACATGTATTTATTCTTGAACGCTCAGTTCTACTGCATAGGTTTATGTCTAAGCTCATTTCAGCACCACACTATTTTGATTATATATAATTTTTGATTATGAGAGAAAATATTAACAAAATAATTTATCTGGAAAAGACTTTCAACCACTTGCTGGAGATGAAATGACTCTTACCTGAGAACACCACGGGTTTAGAGGACTGCTTTGCATGCTGGGAGTGCTGCTTCTTCTCTAGTGCTGTCAGCATTCCCCCCAAATCCAACTGTACTGGAAGCTGGCTCTTTTTAATACTATTTTTAAAATTATCCTGAAAAGTTCAAAAATTGTAAGTTTATTTATGATAATATATAGACTGTGCCTTTCATTTTATAAAAAGCATTCATATGATTACAGATAAAATGAAATGGACTTAGAGACTATAAAAATCTTAAAATTAAAAAAAATCAATCACACCTTATCTGCTGATGTTACTATGATTGTTTATTTCCTTCTTTCAGAGCACTGGGTTTATATGAAATCACCTACATTTCTATCTACATCACCACTGTGAGTTAACAGTGAATACCTACAGATAAGACACTGGGGCTCCTATAAAGCTTTTGACTACAGAAGTCTGTGTGAGAAGCTGCATGTTTAGCACTATTGCCTCATCAGCACCATTCTCTTTTTAACTGCCTCAGGGAACCAACTGCCATGAAATCATAGTGGTAACTCCAAAAGTCTACAGAAGCCCAAATCACATCCAGCAGATAACACTAAATGTAGATACAAAGTTTGAGACACTTGAAACAAATTATTTTTGAAATGGCTGTGATTTAGGTTTTCAGAATGTATAAAAAATTGTTCAAGGAGATAGCTGGGAGTGGTGGCAAACACCTAAAGTCTCAGCTACTTGGGAGGCTGAGGCAGGAGGACTGTTTGAAGCCAAGAGTCTCAAGTTTACACTGAGCTAAAATCATGCCACTGACCTCCAGCCTGGCAGACAGAGATCTCATCTCTTTAAAAAAAAAAGTTGTATAAGGAAGCCCCTTCTATGTCCTAAGGCACCGTGTGCCATTTGCTTTAGCACCTGTACTCCACTCTGCCAAATGTTCTTTTCCCCGACACTGAAAACCCTTCTGGCTGAGGGGTCATGTCAGGGGAGGTCACCAAGTACCACAAAGGCAGGCAAGGAGATCTGTTGCAGGGATGGAAGGTAAGCACATCTTAATTCACACAAAGGTTTAGAATATTACACTTTTCATAAACGTGAAAATAATCTTCCTTCTTTAAAAGGCAAAATGACAGTGAACACAATAGAGAATAAATGGCTAAAAGTATGGAAGTTCCCCAGTTAAATTATAAATCACAAGTTCTCACCTACAAGTAGGAGAGGGTGCAAGGAGAGATCACCTCTCCTTGGGCGTCTGTTTGGACTTCACAGGATAAAATTTTGATGCCTTTCTTATTTTTCTTCTGTCAGACATTATTGCCTTGCAAAGGAATTCTATTTCCTAAACTTAGCCTACATTTTTTCTTTTCTTTTCCTTTTTTTTTGAGACAGAGTATTATGTCACCCTCAGTACAGTGTTGTGGCCTCATAGCAACCCCAAACTCTTGGGCTTAAGAGATTCTCTTGCCTCAGCCTCCCAAGTAGCTGGGACTACAGGCACCCGCCCCCCCCCCCCCCCCCCCCCCCCCCCCCCCCCCCCCCCCCCCCCCCCCCCCCCCCACTAGCCCCCCCCCCCGTCGTCCCCCCCCCCCACCCCACCCCCCGCTTCCCC